GTGGAAATATGTGAAATATAGTATCAGCTGCATTTTAATGATAATATCATCCAAGTAATGAACAGCTTTATGTACATGACAAAATAAATTACAAAAAGCTCTAATTCTGGACCTGGGGTAACTTCAATTTCACTTTGCCATACTAGGGAAGAAATGGTGCACTTTTCACTTGGTCTTTAAAAGGCAGCAATCCTTCTTGCAAAATAAAACTAAAAGTGGCTAACTACCCTGCAGTCTTAGAAATCTTTTCACACAGTCTTCTTGGGACTAGAACCTACAGTGTAATCTCTACTACAGTGTAAACACCACACCTTTTCAAAACTGTTAGCTAAGACTAAAAACCTCCTCTGTAGGATCTGCAAGACATGTTCAGGTATAAGGTCTGCACTGAAGCTAGTCCAAAGTGGGTCTTGCCCCAGCTTGTTGGTTACTGAGCAACTGCACATGCCAAAAGGGAAGTGTGGTATTGCTCCACTCCGTCTAAAGGACTGTTAGCAACCAAGCAAGGGTTCAGTATATTATGAAAGAATAAATAAGAAAAGCTAAACTATTAGAATAAATGTCTTTCACAAAGGATTTCTGATGCTGAAAGGAATAATTGCTTATAATATATTCTAAACATGCACAGGACTTTCAGCACATAAAACCCCAAAGCAGCATTCCCAGAAACTGTCATTGTAAAGTCTGCTGCAAAGACTTCTCCAGGGCAAACTTCTGTACTAGCCTGAATCTCCCTGACTTCAAGCCCAGTCCTGCAGCCTTTATTTATGTGGACAATTCCATTTGCAGTACTCATGACTGCACAGATAAACTGCTCATGACAGAGCAAGCCTCAACTCAAACAAGTCAGTTCAAGTAATATTAGGAATAGAAAAAGACTAATACACGTACTTTAAATACTTCTGGCTCCATAATATCATGCTGTAAGTTGAGGGGAAGTTGGCAGAGAACTCACTGAAGAGTCCTATTTCCTACCTAATTAAGGACAATGACAGATAAGGAAGCCAGGCACATCCTTTTCATATTAAAGTGATTATATATTTTTAATACTTAATCTGTCTGACTCTTTTTGCTAGATTTCTTATAAAGCATATTTAAATGACATTATATTTCTTCTCATGGTAGTGCCTTAGTCTGTGATAGTAAGAGACACAATCATTCTTTGTTTCTTGCTTTTAGTACAGATCAGTGGTTACTAAATACTGGTTAATACTGGTTAAATTCCATAGTCCATATTATTCAGGAAATCATACTAGGTGAGTATCAAATGGGTTTTACCTTTCATCTGTTCATATTTGGAAAAATTCTCAGTAAGAGTTACCTCCTGTGATTATGTAGGTGTATAGTTCTTTCAAGAGCATTTATTTTGTACTGGAAGTTTTAAAAGCAAGCTTTGATAAAAAGCTTAATAAAATTTAAAGCTTCATAAAATTTGATAAAATTTAATCTTTTTTTGGTTGGTTGATTTGCTTTCTTAGTATCTTCAGAGTTTTCTCAAAGTAAATTCTTTCTTTTTCTCACTTATAATTTTAGATCTCTAATCCTATGTCTTGCTTAAAATTGCCTACCCTTTAGTCATTACAGGGCATATAATGATATTTAAAGTATTTAAAATGTTTTATGGAATCTTGTGACAAGCAATAGTTTCCTGATTTAAAAAATATATTCCATGAAAACAGGATTTGTTCTCTCACCTCAACTTTCTGCCCATATAGTGCTCACCTGTGAGCAAAGAATAGAAATTGCCAACATTAAGAGGGATATTTAGGAAAATGCTACATATGTATTAACTCAATTACAGGCAGCACACGTCCATAAAATGCCTAGCTTGCTCAAAATCTTTATTTCCCCCAGATTTTTGCTACAAACTAACAGATAATAAAAGTTACAAGTAACTGATAGCTCTCCTAAGGATTGCCATATGAAAAGTGTCTAATTGTTGCGGAAATCTGTTCAAATGCAGGCTTTTCCTCTGCCAGTGGTGAATAACAATCAAAAGGCAACAGCCCTTATCATCTTGTCCATTTTGCAGGCTGAAATGCTTCACCTCTTAAGAATGCATTCCTTTTATTGGAATGATGGGTGTGCTCTGGGCTTGGACTTGGTGGAGTTCACCGTCTGCTTAAGCCACAGACACCTTCCATTAATTTTTTTTTTCCTTTTCAGAGTTGATCTCCTCCTTTCTATTCTTAATGTGAAATTTGAGCATTTCAAAACCACACACTTTTGTGGAGCACACTGGAAGCAATTATCCAGGAATACATTGTGGTTTGGAAAAGTATTAATTTCCATGATTTGTAGGAAACACCAAAGGAATTAGTAACAAGATCATCAGTATAGTGTCAAAACATCTTCCAAAATCGGGAAGGCACCTCCCAGACAAGAGAGTGATTAAACACAGACTCTCCCTGCTTTATTAAGGTAACCTTTTGATGGGATCTCTTAACATCTAGCCTGAAGTCTGCCAAAGGCTTCCCTTGATTCTCAGCTCTCTTGTCTGCAGCTGCAGGGCCAAGACCTTTGTACTGTATTTGCCTCATAGAGAGGTTGGAGTGCCAAGTTCAGGAATATCTCTAAATCTCTTGGAAAGCAGTAGTGAGAAAAAGGTGTAAGTGCAATGCATCATCTGCTCCCTGAGAACCTCTCCAGTATTAGAGAGTTTTGAAGTTGTCCAGGAGAGTCAGATATGTTACACAAAGGAGGCACTTTAGAGAAAGCCTGGATGTTTATGTTACACTATCAAAGAAGTGCTTGCTGTTCTCTGAACGATCTGTCAGTTCTCCTGAGATGCCTGAATGAAAAGCAAGGTTTAGAACTCACTTGAAAAAAATCTGTATTTTTGCTTTGCTCCTGTGGTGGCAAGCCGTGACTCACAGGTGACATGTAAAGCGTAAGATGAGCCTCTGAGAAGAGTCAGGGAAAAAAAACCTCAAAAAGAGAAGAGAAGAGAAGAGAAGAGAAGAGAAGAGAAGAGAAGAGAAGAGAAGAGGATTCCTCCTGTGAGGGGTGCAACAGCACTGTGACCCATGGTCCCAGGGAAGAAAGCTGCTTTTTTACCTCCATCAACCCTTCCAGAATTTTAAGGTCTCCTCTATTATAGGCTATTCTCTTGATGGAACTGCTCTATAACATTCTTAGTGGTTTGGGGGCTAGATATTACAGGAGATCCCCTCTTCCCCTGAAATCAGTCCATATTAAAAAATACTATAGTGATGTTACATGCATGCTTTGGGAAAATATAAAGATCAAACTGATGTGCACAGCAATGTGACTGGAGGGAATGGACAGGTGCTCAAATGGACAATGGCCAAAATGAAATAAATTTTACTCTTTTTTTTCACCCTTTCTCTGTGATTCATCAATCTGAAAAAATTATATTCTTTATTTAAAATTATTTTCTTCACAAGCAAAAAAATAATATATATATGTTACAGAACATCATCTCAATATGCATTTCTGAAAGTCCTCTGACTCCTTTAATTCCTTAACGCTGTAAACATACCCCAATTTGTTTATATGTAACGTGAGATCAGTGCTTAAAAATAAACCAAATAGGAATTGCAGTGTGTGTGTGTGTGTGTGTGTGTGTATGTGTACAACAGACACAGCAATCTCTGCTAGGGGCTGAAGACATGACACTGAAGGAAGACTGTCCATTATATTTATTTGGTTTTAATCCCATGGCTAGTGCATGAAGTGCAGAAAGTTAAGCAAAGGTGATGGATTTTAAAAAATAAACTCAACACTAATTGTCACTGAAGCATCTAGACACAGTCCTATGTTCCTTTCAAAATGGAATGGCCACCACTCTTTTCCAAAGGTAAGCACTACCTAGCTATCCCCATTGTAAGCACATCCAGTCAGATCCCAAACCTAAAGAATCAGTTCAACCATGGGCCCTTCAGTATTTGCCATCCCTCTCTCAGAACACAAGATTTTGTGTCAAAAGAAAGATTTCAGCTTTACTGCTGCATTTTCTCTTAAGCACCAAAGAATTCAAAATGTTTCATATTTGGTTTTATATAGTTCATTATGGCTTCTCAATTTAGGCACCTGCATCAAGTTAATTAGGCAGAATATAATGGTTCCTTTGATTCAGAGTTGTACAACACTAAGCATCAAGCTGTAGAGTAAAAAGAAAAGTTGCATTGTTCACAGAAGTTTGCTTTCAGTAGGTAGGTAAAGCAGAGACTGCAGGAGATGGCACAAAGAAAAAAAATTCTATTAGGTAGAATAAAGTCCCAAAGTCTATTTTGCTCACAAACCCAAAAATCAAGTGATTTCTAGTTACCAAAGGAGTCAGGACAACAATGGGAGTTTCTGTAGATTTTAAAACAGTATGAGTCAAATGTTTAAAAATCAGCATTTCAGCTGCTGGAAAATTGCATACATGGCAGTAGGTCCTAGGAAATTTTCCCATCCATGAATTTAGTAGCAAAAACAAGCTCCTGGTGCACACTAAGGTTTGAGAAGATGAGAGCTCACAGCCCATGGTTCAGAGGAAGTGTTACTGTGACAAAATATTAATTTTGTATGAATACAGCACTGATGGCATTGCATGCATTTTGACACACAGCAGTCCCCCAAAGGAAGTGTTATCTAATTGGTTCTATCAAAGGCAGGCATCTCCTTGGCATCTAGAAAGGAATATATAATCCAGGGGTCTCCTTCTCTGAGTAAATTTCCTTCCTGACCTCCCAGCTGGGCTCCTGCTCAGGGCCATGCAGTTTGTATTGCAGAAGAGCCAAGGAGGATTTCTGGTTCTTCCAAAGGCACTTGCTGTCTGGCCAGGCGGTAGAGAAGTCTGAAAAATACCAACTGTGCACATCCATATAATTTTCAGTAGCAAAAAATGGCCCTACAACAACTTCTGCAGGATATCACCAAACAGAAGAAAAAATCATCTACAGGGCAACTGCAATACAGAAATAGTGTTGTAACAAGGAAACACATGATGAAAAAACATGAGGAATTATCACTAAATTATTAAAATACAGAAGTAAGCAGATCACACTTTATTGGCAGGTCACTGTTCAATTAACCTTTACAAATAACTGCAATTAATACATTTGTTTTGTTTATATAAATGTTGACATGAGACAGATTAACACATTGGCTGAATTAGAGGGCTAAACTGCTCCAGTTTAATGCAAGTATTTGGTAAATCACTGGTGCTGTAACACATGCAGTTATTAAATGCCCTGAAGTCAGACCAAAAGCCAGATAAAAAATTTACTGATAGATTGCCTGTGAATTGCAAATTACATTAGTTAATATTAATGATTTCAATTACTAAAACAAAGAAATGACCCCCAAAGTTTTATGCCATTTTAATCTACTCATCTCTACCTCAGATAGCATTTACATTTATATCTAACTTCATTTTAATGTGGAACTACCTAAGTAATCATTTTAGCAGCAAGTAAATGCCTAAAAATGCAGCAGTGACTTCTAGTGGGGGTATTAAACCCTTCTCAAAATAAGTCATCTATACCATAATTTCCACTATGCAACAAGGCAAAAGGACTTGTGTCCACAGTAAAACTGTGAGAATATAAATGAGAATATAATATCACTGTGAGTAAAACAAGAGAATATAAACTGATCTAAATCTCCTGTGTGTTCACAATTAACAAAATCTCATTTGGAAGGTACAAAAAAAAAAATGAGGCTTACCTCTCACTAACATTTCAATTTGCAGTTGAATCCTGGGGTTTGGGAATGCAAAAGCACCATATTAATGATAAAACAGGGGCAGGTAGTGCTGAAAACCTCCTACATGTAGCTATGTTAGCAGCAGAGCCAACTCAAACTTACATATGCAGGAGTATTTGTGGTCTAAACGTGAATACTTCAAGAGGCTTTTAGGCAAAGCAGCCCACGCTGTGTAACCATACACCAGATTATCTCCAGGTAAAAACACAGACTTGGGCATTTCAGAGGAAGACAAAGTGCTCCAGTACAACCTTAATAAAGCTGGAAAGAAACTAGGAGAGAAGAGTGCCCCCAGAAATGCATTTTCCTGGAAAAAATAGACTTTGAACATGATTTCACTTCTTATAACTCACTCATCAGTGGTAGCTCCTCCATCACAATGATTTTAGCTGGATTTATGCAGCCTTGAATGGAGGGTTCCAATTCTCCTATCATTCTGTCAAGGCAATCTCCTTCCTTGCGCACAATTCCTGGAAACAGTTCTGTCAGGAGTGTATCTATACTTAATTAAGAATAGTGATAAGTATGTGCTGGGAAATATAAATAAATGATGCACTACTTTCACACGTGCTGGTCTTTGATTACGTGTCAAAAAGAACCAAAACCACTTGTTGTCAAGGCATGGAATAGTTTAAAATGCTAAGCGATTTCTTTGGTTGATTTGCTGTTGGCTACAGGCAGCAACAGCCAGGTCCTCTCCCACAGGTAGGCAAGAGATGTGATACAAGTTTTGCAGGAAGCACGGCGTGTTGGTCAGAGGCTGACTTCACTCAAAGCCCCAAAACCACCCCCTCCCTCCACTCCTACAAACTCCAGAACTCCCCATGCTTTATGGCCAGAAGCAGCTTGAGCCTGCAGCAGTAAGCATCTCAGCTCACTCAGGCAGAGCTATATACCTTCACTGAATGATCACCGCTGTCTAAAACGACGAGGGAATTGTCTTCCGTGTAAGTCAGTCCAACAGGATAAGAAAGCCCGTGACTAATTAGAGGATTAAAGATGGGAAATTCCTCAGGTTTTCCTAAGCATATGACAGCCTGGCTACAAACATCCGTTACTATAACACGACCTTCTTTGTCAAAGGCCACAGCCGTAGCATATATTCTGGAGGGGAAAACGAGGTTCAGGCCAAAGCTGTCCATCTGGCCGATGAGATCCATCTCCGCACTGAATATCGTCACTCGGGTGCTGCCCCTGCTCGCACCTCGAGCTTTCAGGTGCTCTATTACCACGACAGTACCCGAGGTCTGGCAGACTGCAACTGCCCTGGGGCTGACAAGCCGGGACCGGATCATCTGGCACGTCTTTAATTCCCCCCTTTGGAAGTCGGCCGCCAAGCGGTAGAGCGCGCCTGCCTCCGAGTCCGTCAGGATTACTTCGCTCTTGGGGGTGGCATCCAAGCCCCAGGGCAAACAGAAGCCTTCCCGGACAGCCAGGAGGCCCCTTCCCTCAAAATCGAAGGCCTTCACGGAGCAGTCTCCGCCGTCGGTGACCACCACGTGCCCGTCCGACGTGACCGTCACGTCGAGCGCATACTTGATGTCGTTGCTCGCGTCCCCCCGCTCCCCGAACCGCCGCAGGCAGAACCCGCTCGGCCCGAAGACGTGGATCCTCTTCTTGCCGTCGTGCGCCACTGCCAGGCGGCCCGACCCGGGGCAGGCCGCCACCCCGGTGGGGTTCACCAGCGACCCCCAGCCCCCCAGGCACAGCCGCAGCCCGAGCCCCGCGGGGGCCGCCGCCGCCCCTCCGCCGCTCCTGCCCAGGGCCGAGGCGAGGCCGCCGCCGGCGGGGCCTAGGAGCTCCAGCAGCTGCAGCAGCGGGCGGCAGTCGCTGGTCTCGGCCGGGCCGCAGAGCCGCCGGCAGAAGGGACACTCCAGCCTCTGGCGCTCGGCGCCGGCCAGGGCCCCCACGCAGCCCCGGCAGAGGACGTGCCCGCAGGGCAGGTTGAGCGGCCGCCGCTGCCCGTCGGGGCCGTACGGCTCGAAGCACACCCGGCACTCCAGCAGGCTCAGCTCCGCCTCGTCCTCCGCCGCCATCCCCGCCTGAGGGGAGCGATCGGAGCCCCGGCAACGGCCCCGGATCCCCCGGGCCCAGCGGGGCGGGCGCTGAGCGCGGCCGAGGCGGGCGCGCGCCCCCTGCGGGCCAGCGGGGGCGGAGCAGGGCCCGGGCCGCCCTTCCCGCCGGGACCGCGGGCTGTCCCTGCGCCCACCGCTGCGCCCGCACGTCCACCCGTGCGCATACATCCACCAGCACGTCCAAGTGTCCACCAGAATGTTCAACCACCCGCCAGAATATTCACATACCCACCAGATTCTTACAGACATCCAGACAGCAAGTTACCGTACCGCTACTAGCTCTCTTTATGCCCCTAGCAGAGTAAGGAATTAAGCCACAATTTTACAGAATCATGGAATCACTGGATGGTTTTGATTAGAAGGGACCTTGATAATTATCTGGTTCCAATCCCCCTCCCATAGGCAGGGATGACCAGGATAGATCAGGTTGCTCAAAGCTCCATCCAACACTTGAACACTTCCAGAGATGGGGCATCCACAGCTTCTCTGGGCAACATGTTCCAGTCTCATCATGCTTGCACTAAAGAATTTCTTCTTAATATATCACCTAAACTTACTCTCTGTCAGATTTCCCTTGTCCTGTCACTACATGCCCTTGTAAAAAGTCTCTTTCCAGTTCTCCTGCAGGCCCTTCAGGTACTGGAAGGCTGCTCTAAGGTCTCTTCAGAGCCTTCTCCAGGCTGAACAACACCAACTCTCTCAACCTGTGTGGAGATATACATAGGAGATGTACTCCATCCCTGTGAACACCTTGGTTTCATTGGATTTTCCCACTGTTCTGGCAAAATTTAGGAAATATTTACATCCATCACTAGTAGACACATTTCTCAGACAGGCACGTACGCACATATCTGTCAGGTGCATGGGCAACATGTGCTCCTTCTGCTAGGTGTATTTACAGGGTATTCTCAGAGTAGTTACAGGGTACACACAGATCTTACACATCCTAAAATGGCTATTTTGGCACACGGCATTGCTCTTCCCAGGCTATTGCATGCCTGGGAGTTCTGTGCAGGACATCACAGAGCATGTGGCAGCCTCGTGCCAAGCGCCTGGCCTTTTGCAGCTATTACATATCTCAGTGTCTGAGATAAACTTTGGGAGCTCTCATGTTGCATCTGGAAAAAAACTTGAAAGGAAGGAGATGCTTTAACCTGGTAGCTGCAGTACTGGCCAGGAGTGAAAACAAACAAAACCAGCAGCTCCCAGCTTGCACTGGCTCACTGGCTGTATTCGTTCTTCTCTGTGTCAACCCAACTTTGAAACACGAGTATCTATGAGCAATACAGAGTGTTCCAATGAGCTGTGGGTGTGGGGACTGCTGTGCTAAAATCAGCAGACCCATTTGCAGCTCTAGGGCTATGCAGTCTAAAAAGCCCCAATGCTTTTATTTGCCTTCTATTCTTGATGACTTATGATACATTACATTGCAATCATACCTTTCCTTTCAAAATAAGCTGCAAAGGGGAGAAGTCGCTGTGCTCTGTCAACCTCAAAGTAGAGAAGACTTTTCTCATATTCAGATGGAACTTCCTGTGTTTCAGTTTGTGCCTTTTGCCCCTTTTCCTGTCGCTGGGTACCACTGAAAAGTCTTGTCCCATCCTCTTGTCAGCTGCCCTTAAAGATATTTGTAACATTGATGGTCCCTTCTCAGCTGCCTCCTCTCCAGGACAAACAATGGTTCTCTCAGCCTTTCCTCATAAGCAATATGCTTCAGTCCCCCAGCCATCTTTATGGTCCTCTGCTGGACCTGCTCCATGTTGAGGTCTCTCTTGTCCTGAGGAGCCCAGAACTGGACACAGTACTCTAGATGCAGCCTCACCAGGGCTGAGTAGAAGGGCGGGATCACCTCCCTCGACCTGTTGACCACACTCTTCCTAAGGCACCCCAGGATACCACTGGCCTTCTTGGCCACAAGGGCTATCTTGTTGACCACCGGGACTCCCAGGTCCTTCTCTAAAGAGCTGCTTTCCAGCAGGTCAGCCCCCAGCCTGTGCTGATGCCCTGGGTTTTTCTTCCCCAGGTGGAGGACCTGCACTTCCCTTCTTTGAGCTTCACTAGGTTCCTCTCTACCCAGCTCCTGTGCCTGTCCAGGTGTTGCAGCATGGCCGCAGAGCACTGTGGTGTGTCAGCCACTCCCCCTAGTTTTGTATCATGATCAAACTTAGTGCAGGTACACTCTGTCCCTTCATTCAGGTGACTGATTAATAAGGTGAACAAGACTGGACCCCCTACTGACCCCTGGGAACACTGCTTGCTAAAGCCCTCCAACTAGCCTGATCAAAACACTGAGCTCCGCCACTCAGCCGGTTCTCAATCTACCTCACTGCCCACTAACCCCGTCCATTTCCCTTGGTGAATCCATGTTGACTACTCTTGATAGCCCCCTTTTCCTCCACTTGCTTAGAGATGACATCCAGGATGGGTTGTTCCAAGGATGAGGGTGAGATTGACTGGCCTATAGTTTCCTAGGTCCTCCTTCTTGCACTTTTTCAAGACTGGAGCGACATTGGTTTTCCTCCAAAAAAGGAAAAGGGGGCGTCCTCAGGCACCCCTCCCATACTCCGTGACCTTTCAGATACGATGGAGAATGGTTTAGCAGTAACATTGGCTGCTCTCTCATCACTCTTTGGGCCATCTTACCCAAGTCATGTTAGTTTGCTTGCCCATAGCTGCACTTTCAAATGAGGGAGCAGCACACTTGTGAGTGACTGCCAGGACATTTTCCACCCATTCCTCCCTGTCATCCAGTCTACTTCCCTCCAGCCTTGCTTGCTGGGTGGTAATTTCCTCTTGGCAGCTGCTGCCTTGCCTTGCCCACTCACTGCCAGCTCTTCACTTGACATATATTCACAGGCATGGAGAGGCCTGTGAACTTGCAGCAGCTTCCCACCTCTGCCCAGCCTGGTGCAAGGCCAGTGCCCCATGAGACAGTGTTTGAACCGCAGCTGCCACACTCCCAGGGCTGCCAGCTGGTGAGGCCGAGTTGCAGAGTGTCAGGCAGACAGCACCGACCTGCAATGGCTGAAAAGGAACAAGAACATATCTTTCTCACAGCTCTCATTATTTGAACCAATATGGAAGAAGAAGGTAAGCTTTGGTAATGGTTGTTTGTGCATAGAGTTTCAGAAAAGCTGTTCACATCTCAAGATAGTAAAGGCTGATGTGTAGGAGAGCTGACTTGGTAAGCAAAATGGACAAAACCCCTGCTTTAAGAATGCCCCATTTTAAAATGTGAGATACAAGAAAAAGCAAGGTGGGAGGCAAGTTATTTTAATAAATTTTAATCAAGCCACAAACTTTAGTAGATATAGCACCTCCAGAAAATAATCTAGTCCCCATTGTCTGTGCCTCTCTGAGAAGTCATCAACTTTTTCAAGACACCTAATTTCACAGCAGTTGCCTGAAAAGGAGGTAAGAATAACAAATTAGTGAATGACTAGTCAATGAAAAATGCAAACTGTCCAGAAAAAAAAATAAAATCTTATTCACAGATTTCCCCACAGTGCCTAACACAGTGACATAAATGCACTGGGGGAAATGTAATTGCTCTCTTTTGCACTGGGGTGCAACTGTCTATGCCAATGACTCACTGCACGCAAACACTGACAGAGTCTCAGAAAGTTGTAAATTTAAAAGTGAGATATTACAGCACACCAGAAAGAACTCCTAAAATTAAATTCCTGACACAGCTCCAAATTTCATTATTTTGATGGATTTGAGTTGTACATTTCTAGCATTTTATTTGAGTGCAATGTTGCTTTTCTTCTTTGTCACAAAAGTACAGTAGAAACTGTAGCACTGGTAGGACTTGCATTAAAACCAGGGCAACTGTTTGATGAGGTGCAGGCAAAAACAAAATGGCCAAACAGGACTCTAAGGCTGCAGGTGAGTGCAGTATGAATCCTGGGGAAATAAAAGATACTAAAGGGAGACAAGAAACTGTCTCTTGGGTTTCCTTCATATCTTTTGAAGAACTGAGAATTTTCCATGACAACAAAATCCCTGTGGCTAAATGGTATTTATTTTTCCCAGTATTTTTCCATGGCTCTAGCCTTTAGATAAGAACTAAATGACCGTATCACTCATCACAGGGCAAGGTAAAGGCATATAAACATCTTTATGTGTTTTTGAAAAAATTCCTAAGGATTAGGTGAAATTTTACTCACCAAACAGACTTTTAATTTCAGATTCAGGAACATAAAATGGTGGGCCTGAAAGAAAAGGGGTGAAGCTAATCAGAGAGGAGACATGGGAAGAAGACAAAATTTACACTGCAGTAGGAGAGCCAACCCCTTCACTCACAGCACCTGGCCTGTAATGGGGCCCCAGGGTGCAGCAGCATCAGCAGGAGCCAGAAAACATGTCCAGGAACTCGTGGCACCTTTGTGGGCCAGACAGCTTCAGGTGCTGCTGCTGCCTCATATGCAGCTGCAGCAGGGAATCAAGAATGTGACGTGGATACAACCAGTCTCAGTGTGCTGCCTGAATCCAGTCTACAATCTCTTTATACTACAGTGGCATGATTAAGGCTAAGAGCTGAACATTGTCAGAGGGAAAGCAATGAATTAAACTGTTGTTACTTGTAATAGCAAGACCTATTTTTTATGGGGCATAATTATGCTGAAGGGCCCAAAAGCAGAAAAAGATCTCTTTCTTTGGTGAGTTAATATCAACTAAAAAATCTCCCACTTCAGCACATAATACAAAAAACTATAAAAGGAAAAGTACCTTATTTTTAATTAATTTTACAGAATTTCCCCTCTTTCAAGTACATTCAGAGCATGGTAGTGGCTGAGAGAGAGGCACAAGATGGGCAACACATTGGGTTGCAAATCCTGGATAAACAGCATGAAGCTGATGTTCTTGGGAGTGTTTCAAGCTCCTGAGGCCAGACAGGATGTTACTAACTGCTCTGACTTCCAGCTCCATTGTAGCAGCCACACTTACAGTTTCATTTCATTGTTAATATACCACGAGTGTCCTCAACTTACCTTTAGCATGTCTGAATGCTAGAGAAAACACAAGTTTAGTCCCAAGCTTGGTCAATACCTAAACTTTTTAACACACAGTTATACACAGTTATACTGGGGTCTCCAGCTAACAAAGCTATGCAGATAAAAATCTTGGGGAAAATACTAATACATATACAATTTAATACATCTACATCTAATACATCTTTATACAATTTGTATTAGACCAATATCACAACATGAACAGTACAAAGTTCTCACCTTTGTGTTTGTTTGGATCATATGAAACTGTAACAAGGAGATAAGAAGAATTTTTCTCCACTAGGTTGATCATCAAACTGGCATAGCTAAAAGGAAAAAATTATACTTTATTATTTTTGTAAAGCATTCAAGCATAGCATTCAAAATATTCAACAAAATACATTTCTATGCAGACAGAATTTGAACTGAACTGCACAGAGACTAACCAAAACTTAGTTCAAATTTCAGGAGCATAAAATTCATGCTACATATAAAAAACATAAAATAAAGGTTGTATTTCTTCCTCATAAACAAGCATTTATCTTTTTTTGCACATTCAACTCAAGATTAATAGACAAACAGAGTATTCATCTGCCACAGTCTAGAATACAGAACATAGTACAGTCCTTATGTTTTAAAATTATTGTGAATTGAAGATTCTGTATCTAATTAAAAAATCGTGGGAGCAGGTTCAAACTAAATTTGAGCGGCTATAGGCAAGAACAAAAATTTATAATCAAGGAGAGTGTGGGGGAAAAGAAAAAAGACAGAAGAAGCAGATGTGGTGAAAAGGAAATAATAGAATTCAGATGAGACTTGCAGCCCTGCTGGAACAAACCACATATTTTCCCAACAAGAGGCAGTGTGGCTTCCTGAAGGAAGAATACAGCACTCTGCAACTGCAGCAGATGCTTGTGGTAGAGAAGAGCTTGTGTAGGTTGGTCCTTCAAATGAAAAAGGACCCATTAACAAGTCACAGGATCAAAAAGTTGTCACTGTTACATCAGAGAAAAGACAGTAACAATGCAATTTACTAACCGTTGTCTGTCACATGGATTCACGGCTACAAGAGCTCCTCTGTCCCAAACCCCATCAAACTTGCCAACTATTGAGCTATAAGGAGATAAGGAAAAAGCTTAAAAATAGTAAAAAGGGACCTTCATCTTCTTTCAGACACTTTTGTGAGGTCACAAGTATTCTGCAGCTAGTGATTCCCCACCACTTTTCTGTTATGGTGCAGCATTTTTATAATCCAAACCAACAGGATCTGGAACTCAAGAAACCCCCCTGGTTCTTTGTCCTGCTGCGATAGCAAAGAGGTGTGGGAATTGGTCAGTGCTTCCCCATCCTTAGGGACTGATGAGACATGGCAGGGAGGAAGGAATGTACTTTTAACACATTTGGGCTACAGGTCTGGGCGTTCAGTAACCACATCCTTCTGTCTAACATGCACTCAGCACATCAGTTCTTGACCACCTTCTAAAACCCATGCATGATTTCATATGCAGGCTAAGGAAAGTGCCTTGTTGCTTTACTATCATTGACTCAGCACATTCAGTAAGTTTAGACACCTGAATTCCCACTACATGCCCAGACAGTTAGCTTCAGCTTTAAATTTGTTTAATGCTAGGAAAAGCGAAGTTACACTGCTGCTTCCCTCAGTGCAACTCTGCTGCAGACACTAGTTTTGCTCCTGGATACGCTGGCAGATGGCTTCAGTGGCCACCCAAATCCTGCAAGTGAGCAAGACTATCAATAAATGCCTTTATTAATGGATGGTAAAAGCAGCCAGAGCAGCACAAAAGAATATCTGGGGATAAGAAAGAGTCTTGTTTTTGGTAATTATTAAAATAGGAGGTTAGACAGTAAGGTGGTAATTAAGTAAATTGCGTAATTTTAAAGAAAGTTTGAATAAGTTTACTTACAAAAATGTGGCATGGAATTGTGCAATACCCTTCTGCCTACTGGGCAGGTGTCAGAGTCCAATTGCATCACCTCTGTCTTCATTTGTGTACAGGTTTTGGCTAGGGTAGAGTTACCTTTCTCCATAGTGGCTTGTGTGGGGCTGTGGTGGTGGATTTGGGCTTGAAGTCATGTTGATAACACACTGACAAAGTTAGTTACTGCAGATCAGCACTTACACAGCACTTACACAGCACCAACAACTTTTCTGCTCCTCACACCCTGACACCAGTGAGTAGGCTGGAGAGTGCAAGAATGAACAAGACACTGGGTGGGGACACAGCAAGCACAGCTGACCCCAACTGAGCAAAGGGATATTCCAGACCATCTAGCTCCACTCTCAGCAAAAAAACTGGGTAGGAGGTTGGTGGATGGGGGCACTGCTTGGCTGCTGGCTAGGTATCAGTTGCTTGGTTGGTGGTGGGCAACTGCTTTCATTTGCACCACTTGTTTCTCTTTGGCTGTTCTTTATTCTGTATTTTTTTCCTTACAACTTTTTGAAATTTATTTTTAATTATTAAACTGTTTCTATCTCCACACACATTTCTTTCTCACTTTTACCCTTTTGATTGTCCCTCATCATCTCATGATGGGGGAGTGGGCAAGCAGCTGTGTGGTGCTTAGTTCCACCACCTTAGCCAGAGTTAAACCATGAGAACTTCTCTCTCACCACTGCTATTTTCATTGCAATGGCATTGCTAAGTCTCTGGCACCTAAACTACAAGCTAATCTTGTATTTCCCACTCTACTGCGATGAGACATGATAAAACTTTCAAGTGCTGACTTCTTTTAAAGTTTGCCAAGTCTAAGCATCTAATTTGAATAACCAGCCTTGGAACTGAAAGGAGATTTTTAAAGAGACAGTTAAGCACTGGACATGCAGGGCACAAAGGAGAGTTTCATGAGGCTAGTGACAAACTTGATCTTCTGAGGCTTGGAGGCAGTTCTCCTCTCTGCGTAGCTGAGTCTGCTGAGTGACCTCAGGCAAGCCACTGAGGTTTTCTGCACTTGGCTTTAATTTCCAACTTTAATCTGGTCTAACTGGAATGGCAGCAGTGACTCCAAACATGCATTTCATGTACTTTACTCCCAAGCAATTTCATCAAGGCCTACAGACATCCCAGGCTGCAGGCAGACTCATGCTGTGGCCTTGTCCCAGTCCTGGCTGCCCAGATCTCAGGACCTGCTGAATGTCTGCATGCTCCTTGTCCCTCTGCACATCCAATTTCCTTCACAACACGATGAAGCCATGAGGAAAAGGTCAAAAAAGGCATACAGCTGTCTCTCATCCTGATGCAGAGTCAGGATGAAGCTAAAGTATGAGGAAGTTCTTTCACTGTAACACACTGCTATGTGTTTATATGGCATTCAGCATGGGTTAGGGACTACATCTAACAAAATTTAACATATAAATCAGAAATTCACATATCTGCAGAAAACCCAGCGGATTTAAGAGGAAACTTGTGAATTTCTATCTCTGCCTATGTTCACTAAACGCAATTTTTTATTTTCTTTTGAAGTCTTGCAGCCATAATTGTATTAGGAGGCACAGTGATTGTGTAATATAACTGTTTTACATATGTCCCAGAATTCCCAGAAAGAGCAGTAATTCCTGTTACTCTTCAACTAGCAAGAGTTTTTGAAATGTCCCATTTTGACAAAGGTCAGGAGCACATCTGAGTTTTCTTCTAATGAATGCTAGGCTAATGGAGATGAAAGGGACCTGTTAGTAAGCCAGCCTCAGCAAGAGAGACATAAGTTTAATTTCCATAATTACTGGATAATTAATCAAATTGTCTGTACATAGAAACTGGAAGTGTGTGTGCATTTTTCTAGTCAGGTATCTGCTGACTGATGTTGGGAATACAGTTCATTCTGCATCCAGAATGTCTATCTGCCAATTTATTTTGTGACGACAAACTGTGTACTGAATCCAGTGATATGCACTGAAATTGTCACTAATTACCTACTTCTGTTTATTTCAAAGCAGTATTACACCATGTTGTGATAGAAGTTACAAGTTCCACCACACTACTTGCTACAAAACTTATGACTGAATTTTTCAAAAATTTCTGAGAAGCTTAAGCAATCTTTGGGCTACTTGTCAACTCACAGTAAGAAAGATTTAAAGGGATCTACAGTGTAGCAAATAGCTACACTGGAAGGACAAGGTGGGTAAGAAACCAGGCAGTATCTACAAAGTCACATTCATATACACCCCATCTGTCTGACACTTTGCAAGGCTAGTTACATGTATGCACCAGTCAAACCAGCTGGAGTCAGCTGCAGCAGCAGAAGTCACAGTCATAGTCTACTGTCTGAAAGACTCTGGACTCTACTAATGAAGTGTCTTTTTTCCAGTGTTTTGGCAGATTGAAAAAAAAAAAAAAAGATCATATAGTAAACTCTGTGTTCCTGTGTCCTGAACTACCTATTGTGCCTGTATGCACTAGTTCTGGAAAGCCATTGAAATAAATGTTAAGACTATACCCCCTTCCTACTGAAGAGATGTGGGACAAATTCTTATGCTTGACAATTGTTTGTAAGAAGAGCAAGCAAACACAAAAAACTTCACCAAAACTTTATAATCTAGGGAAAAAATCACATCTGAGTAAGAACTGCAAGAAGAAGGAACTATTGTGCTAAGGGACCTCTGGATATATTCTCTTTAGTAAGTTACTCTGAGTAAGGGATTGTGCTAAAGTTTTGCTTCATAGAATTCATCAGTAATGTTAAAGATAATTTGGTTTTACTGTAAAAGCAAAAATGTTTTTTGATAACTTTCACAGAATGGCTTGGTATAAGAAACCCATTTAAAGATAATTAGTTGTCATCCTTAACAATTAACAACGGAATTAGACGTTTGTTGGAGATTGGCCATTCAAGTTTCTCATACAAATTAATATGAGTTTGCTTAAGAGGACCTGACAAATCTTTGCCTGATTCAAATAAAATAATAGTATTGGACAGTATTAATACATGTTCAATTACGGAGAATTGTAAAACACTGTGAGTATTCCTACCTGGACAAATCATAAATACTGCAGCAGTAGAGGGAAATGTTGCCAGAGGTACTCTACAATAAAAGCAAAGGAAACAATCCTTATCAGCTAACTCTCTTTAAATATGCACTCGTAAGTATATATTTATATTTCATATCTTAAAATATACCCATACACTATTAAAAATTAAAATTAAAAAATACATTTATGTGTAATAGGGAAAAAACTGAGAAATATTTTTAGTTTTAGTTTACTGAGGTAGCTCTTCTGATCTCCTCCAGAGAGGTTCTAATCTATCATGGCATGCAACTGTCCAGTTCTAAAATACATTCCTTCTACATTCAGGTGCTTCACAGTTACAAGAAGGCCAAAGTAGTAAGTTTAGAAAAATAACTTCTCAGTCCAAAAATACAACTCAGAGCTTCCTTTTAGACCTCCTCAGGAGAGGTGAATGATTAGCAGTAAAACAGATGCATAAAAGCAGAATGACTTGTTTACTCAGTTATGCCAGCATTGCATGATTAACCACACCAGATCATTAGACATACCTGGAACATTTTTGCTCCTGAAATCTCAGGGACTGGCTCCTCACAATAAGGCAGACTGTGTTCTGAAAAAAACTCCTTCACTGCTTGCTCACTGATTTCCACACCAACAACGCTGTGCCCCAGGTCCGCCAGCCTGCACACAAGAGAGAGAAGGCCCAGGTTTACATTGGGCCCACAGGCTGGACAAAATGTGTATCTCCCATACATCATTTATTGATTAGGGAAAGCCTAGTTTTAGGTTTAGGTGCCCTGATATGTCTAATTCTGACTTTCTTAAGTGTTCACATTATATTGAACACCTCCCTTCCATGATCTGAGCTTAAATTAGCACCACTCAGCATACAGTTGACGAGGACTTACATGCTTTATTTTGATTTAATGAATTATTCATTTATTCCTGCTAACTCGGTAAAAACAGAGGTGATCACACTGAGAAACTGTCCATTTCAGAAAGGTGCTGTGCTCTGAACTGAGGTGACTGGGCACAGTGTCCAACCAGCTGCCTCTGTGGCTTGGAACAGGCAGCAAAGGAGGTACAGTAACCTCTGCACTGCTGCAGCTCAGCAAAACACCAACGTGTGTCAGAGCCCACAGTCAGCCTAGGAAGTAGGTACTGTGATAAAACAAAACCTTATAGCTGGATTATTTGAAGATACAGTGCAGGTTTTGGTTTGTGCTCCCTCCCTCCAAGAAAAAGTACTGACTTATATAGGCCCTAGTTTTTAAATACAACACTCCCTCCTTGCACATCCCCCCACCCCCCCCAAAAAAAAAAAAAAAAAAAAGTAAAGTAAAACATGAAGTATAAAAAAGGTGGAAGTTACATTTAGCGCAAATCACTTAAATTTCCAGTGGCATGCCACATGGTCTCTTGAAAATGTCTGACACAACTGACCTCATTGTGGGCAATTTAAGCTGGCATTGCTATGGAAAGCAGCAGTGGTAAGGACATAGATTCAGTCACTCTGTCCATCTAAATTAAGCATTCCCCAAGCTGAACTTAGGACAATCAGTAGGACTTTCAGATCAGACCTTATCTATTCAATTTATGCCACTATACAAAACACCAGTTTCCTCCTCCCTTCAGCTTCCAGTGACACTGCTTTCCTAGCAGTGGAAATGTGCCACATTTCCACTGGCCTATATGAGGTCAGGAATTCCCCCTCTCTCTCCCTCCCTCCCTCCCTCCCCACATCAAGTAAGATTTTGCTCTTATTATCTGTGTTTTACCATTTCATCTCTACTGCTTTACCACAAAGTGGGAAAAATATCCTCAGTCCACTCCTGCCATTTAAAAGAACATCCAGATACTTTTGGAGAAGCCTGCAGAAGAACAGACACGTTTCACTTAACTGTGAGTATTTGTGCTGGCACATGAAAAGCCAAGTGCTACACTCTATCCCAGGTAGCATGAAAACTCCACAATGGCACATGTGTTATTAGCTCAACCTTCTTCATGCCATTAGAAATAAAAACATAAAATAATAGCATTCACTTTCCACTTACACAGCAAGAAAATCAATTTCATGTAATTCAGAAATCAACACATTTCTGTTTGTTCTATTTTCTGTTTGTCTTTGCAACTAAACAATCCAACCAACCCACCTCTAAGAGGGTTATAACAGAGATTTTAAACGGAAAGATAATGAAACTTCCGCATCAAGCAAATCACTTTTACAGGTCTTGAAAGACTACATAATCAGGTTTTTTCTCCTAGGTCCTTGTCTTTTACTGCATGGTAGTTGCTCTGGTGTCCTCATAGTTTCAAGGTCCAGTTTCACATGAACAAAAGTGCAAAGCATCTCCATCAGAAAATTTAAGATTTTCTAGCCAAACTGTCCAAGCTCTAAGGTTTAAAACCTGATTCAAGAGTAAAAGCTCTAAATTAATTCAATACTATCTTTTCTCTGTCCTTTGACAAATGTAGGTCACAAAAATATCTATATTAATTTTTGTTTCAAGCAGTGCCTATGTAAGATAATTTGCTTTTGCAAATGGTCCATTTTCAATTAAGAGTTTCTCGAATGAGCCAAGCCAGTCATCTCATGGCATTACTTAAAACAGCTTAGGCAGAAGAGTGAAGTCACGTACGGATGCCCTTCTTCCTTGTGAAACCCGATGTTACCCATTTCCCATTTTTGTAGCCATTCCTCCTCTGTCACCACTCTGTCTTTCTGAGACCCAATATCAGAGGCTTCCAGGAGCCCGGATGCATCCGCTGAGTAGTCCATGTCTCCAGGGAGTGCTCGTAGCTGTGGAAAAAGAGAGAAGAATTACCTCTACCCAATGCATAGTTTGGAACTGGCTTTTACTTCCTCGAAACGGACAAAAATTTAGTAGATCTCAAGAGATCACCATTTGGTGACAGTCGCAATGTACCGAAAGCGAACCAGCCTGACACTCCTGGCTCCCGACAGACTCGGCCAGACCCCGTTTCCCGGGGCGGCTGAAGGCGCCTGTCCAGCCTGTGGCCTCCCTTTTTGCACCCATCGAGAAGCCCCCCTACCCCGGTAACGAAGGAGGGAGATGCCGACATTTCTCTCCCGTGAAACCCGCGGGCAGAAGGCGGGGGCGAGCGGCTGCTGGGGCCGTGGGACCGGCGGCGTGACCCGTGGGGACTCAGCACCGCCTCAGCGCCTCAGCACCGCCCCCCCGCCGCCCCGCTCGGCGCCCCCCGCCCGGGCCGCGGCAGCCGCGGTACCTGCACGGCCGCGGGTCCCGCCAGGGCGGCGGGGCCGGGGCGGTGCCTCCCCGCCCTCCCCCTCGCTACGCACCGCGGAGAGCGGAAGCAGCGGCAGGAGGAGGCGGGCTGAGGGTACACGGCACCGGGGAGGACGAGGATGGCGGTGGGGATGGCGGTGGCGGCGGCGGCGGCGGTGGTGAGTGACTCCCTCAGCTGCAGCGCCCACCGCAGGGCCGCTTGTTCCTCCCCGGGCTGGCGGGGCAGGTGCCAGCGCTGCCCCCGTCCTCACCTCCCCGCTTCACTCTTCCTTCCCCCGTCTCACTCCCTCCCTTCCTTCCCCCTTCTCCACCCTTTTTCCCCGCTGCAGCTCTAGCAGGAGGCGGCGCGGACACGCGTGAATGTGGTCTCCGGCCCCCGAGTGACCCTGCCCCGAGGTGAGTGCCAGGCACCGACCGCAGCGCCTGCCCTGCCGCCGGGACCGCCGCCGCCCGGCTCCGGGGCAGCCCAGCCGCGGGTGTCCGCTGCCCCGGCGGTGCCCCTCGGGACCCCCGCCCGCCGCCAGCTGTCACTGCCGCGGCCCGGGGCGGGCGCTGTCAGCCGCGGCCGGCGGGGCTGGGCGCCGCCGCTTGACTCGGGCTGAGTTTTAGAGGTGTGTGCACTCGCCGTGTTAATCAGGCTGCTCTCGCTTCCTCCCCGTCTCTGACAGTGTGTGTCTGTGTGGTTTCTCCTCTTAATTTTTTCCTCTTCCCCAAAGACAAACTTGCTGCCAACTGTGCAGGTAAACCCCACAAAGCTTTCCGATATAGGCCACGCATTACAGACGGATGAAACGTTATTGAATGTGACATTCACGTATTATGCATCCCTCTCCTTTTAAAGGGCTTATTTTCTCAGTCAGTAAGATGTCCACAGGATAGAATGCAAAGTCATGTAAAGCTTGGTAGAGTAAGCCGTGTTTGTTTGTTCTAGTTTGTTCTATAAAAATTTGTGGTTTTTTGGGAGGGTGTTTTTTTGGTTTGTCAGGGGAAGTGGGTACAAAGTATCATACACCTGATCTTTTCTCCCTTTCTCACCACCTCCCTCTTGCCCCTGTGAAGGGGCAAGAGCAAAAATATGTCTGCAATTCTGTAAAACTGACCTCGGCCTTTCAAAATGGGCAGCCTCTCTGAATCTGAAATATTTTTACCAAACTTCCTAATAATTGGTAATTGACACTTTTTCTACTCCCCACATACATAGTGCAAAATTCTCATGTTCTTCTTTACCTTCTTAGATAAAAGGGCCCCACAGCAGCAGCAGACTGTGATCACCTGATGGTCACCAAAATTATTCACCTGGTGCCTTGCTTGGCACTCCTTGCTCAGTTGGAAGCCTCAGCTGTAAGGACCATGGCGTGTCAGAACAATTACTTACCATCAGAATATTAGGTGACACAGAGAGAGATACTGTTGTGCCACTGATAGATAAAGAAAGCTCTAGGGGGAAAAAGCCACCATTTTCTGGGGCGTTATGCAGCAGTTTAGGGAAATCTCATGTAAATGAAACTGGTTGGTTTTCTTTACTCTCCAACCTCATTCACCCCCATACAGTGGTAAGTGATGCTAATTTTTTTTTTTTTTTTTTTTTTTTTTTAGAGATCAATAGAGATTGATGATAACTTTTTTCCTGCCTCTGGCTAGTAGTAATTGGAGCTGATACATGCAAGAAACAAAGTTTAATTTTGTATTGGGTTTTTTGAACTAATTTTTCTCATGAGATATCCTCATGTGATTTCTCTTCCTCTCATGTATAATTTCTCCTATCTTGAGAGGAGCATGAAGCAACAGTTTACTTGACTTGAATCAGCTTAATATAAAATTTTGTAAAAATTCCCACTCTCCTCCTGTTACCTTGACTTTTAATGGAATTTCTGAACGAAGATACTCCTGCCTTGTCCATCACTGACAGGTTGAATAAGGAAATTACATCCTTAAAGAGGGAGATTTGAGAAGTGTCATATATATATATGTATTAAAAAAACGCTCCCAAAAACATAATTACAAACTGATCCCTATTACAACAAAATAACATTCATGATGCAGTGTTGTAGTACAAGGGGTTAATTTCCACTTTTATGTACGTTGTAGAGCACTCTTTAGATTTACTTCTTCCTCTAGGCTGTCTTTGTGCTTTACTCCCTCTGAAAAGAATGCCTTTGATTTTAAATATGCTTTCATATTTCTGCATCATACTTTCTCACACCCTGTGGTTTCCAGGTTGTGTGGTTAACTGTGGTCCATTCTGTGCTCCTGCCAATGCAGTCAAAGACAGCTACAGAGTGCTCTCATGCTGTAAATATTTTATTTTGTCCTGTAGAATACCTAACAACAAACTTTGTAACATTCCAATCACAGGTGCAATATAATGGCAGTCCAGACTTCAAATTCTGATCTCTTTTCCTAGGAGGTTGTGCAAGTCTTGGAACTGGTTGCTCATCTGGTATTAAATGTCTCTTCAGTACACTGTTTGGAAAAGTGCTTTACAGTGCAAATCTCTTGCTGCCAATAAATCAGTAGTTAGCAGGATGAGTGTTACTCCAAGTGGTATTTGAATGCTTGCATCAGCATTGAGCTGATGTCTGTTCACTTTGCCAACCCAAATTCCAGTCCAGGTCTTCACGTAATGCAAATCAGATTATTGAAATCCAGGATATGCTGATCTGGAATAGCCTGTCAAGAGGTACTCAGGGATTTAATCTTAACAACGAATTTAGTTTAAAATAGTACTATTGTTCCTTTCCAGTAATGCCTCATTCCCATTTTCCTCTCGCATTAACAGTCAAGCTGAACAGACTCTTACCTAGGTAACTCTGTGAAAAGTAGTAATGTGACTGGCTGTGATTAGCTCTGCAAAGTCAAGCAATTTAAATTAATTAACTGTTGCCTACCTTTTTTCAGATCTAACAATACAATGTCAATGGGAAGGGTTCGAACGAAGAAAAAGGCATGTTCTTCAGATCAGTCTCCAGACAGCCTTCCAGTGAGGAGCTCTGGAAGACAGGTATTTATAATAATTTAAAAACATGTGAGTTTGTACTTTGCTATTTTTCATTTTCTGTTGACGTTTGCAAAGAAAGTGGGCTTCCTTGTGGGTAAGTTAGGTCCTAGACTACTTATCCACAGAGAAGAAGAATGAGTTAGTTTCGTGAATAAGCAGGTCAAGTGTTTCATTTTGCAAAAAATATTCAGAAAAGATAAATATTCTATATAACCCGTAAGTACTTAATGTGTTAAAAATACAATCACAGATTTCTGTACAGTCAGACAAAGCTGTCTGCCCGTCCACACAGAGACCTAAAACAGCATAATACACATTACCTTTGATGCCCAGAAGAGACATTTGGTATACAGTTTTGTATCCAAAAAAATGCCTCTATCCAAAAAAACCTACCCTAATATTTTATTTGAGGCACAGATAGGATTGCTACTTGTAATTAATACCAATAAGTATTTTAAAAGAAGAGATTTTCTGAAGGAGAAATAAAATGAATGCATGAGGCTTGACTCATTAACACATGATGGAGCTTAAAATACTATTTAAAGTGGAAGCTTTGCTTATAATTTCTTCAGTGCCATCAATTAGACCAAGGCAAGAAATTTTTAGATATAAATTATATTTCCAGTCTTACTATGGGCTTTGGGATTTTTTTTTTTTTTTTTTTTTTTTTAGTGGAAAAATCTGACCTAATTTGACAGCTGTTTCATGGTGCAGCTAGTTCACAGTGGCTACAAAGATTTTCATTAGGATTGTTTTAACTACGGGATGCCACTCACAAGCTGCAAAACTGTCTGAATGCTGTTTTATAGAAGATGCATTTGTGTCATTTATGGTCAGATTCCAGCTATTCTTTATTAGGTGAAGAAGAAAGCAGCTGAAGCAGCAGATGATGATGATGAAGCGTCAGAGAAGAAATATAGAAAGTGTGAAAAAGCTGGATGCACAGCAACATGTCCTGTTTGCTTTGCCAGTGCAGCAGAAAGGTTTGTTACTTTTTATTTGCATTTTTCCTGGACTTTCTAAATCTGCAGCTGAAGTTTAGGATTCTAATTATATTCTGAAAAATTCCTTCATGTCTAAATGTAGAGGGAGAATTGAAAGATACCACTAATAGGAGTCTTAAGGTGCCAAGAAAATGTCACAAGTTATTCCTGTTGTCCATAACTTTCTCCTGTGCAAGTTGCTAATTCAGATACAGAGTATCTTTGGGTTATGCTTATTTATGTTATTAATGGTGTCCTCTGGAACATGCCTTGCTTTTGTGAAAGTGAGAGCATATTAGTGTAATCTGAGAAAGCTAAACTTGCTTTCAAGATGGAAAATGAAACCATAATTTACTGCAGAAAATCTTTACCACTCCTTCACTGGAATGCCTTGCAGTCTGAGGTGAGATTCTAGCCTTGAAATTTTATGTCATAGGAGAGATAGTCATACTAATCTGAACTTTTTGTTCTTGTACACTTCCTCTGCACTTTCACAAGTGCTTTCGCATTCTGACTTGGTGATTTTAAAAGCATAATACTGGCAAGATAT